AGCAACTCATGACATTAAGTTTAAACTAAAACACGCTTCTTTATGCTTACGGCAAAATAGTAGCGCAACTTAGATGAAAAGAAAATCAAACTAACACGAACATAACAAGAAGCAAAAGCTCAAAACGAATATGAAAATAGGAATCTTGAACAGTCCGCGAACCTCAAAGAAAATACCAAATCACAAGAGCATATGCATCAACCCAGAACAACGTTAACTTTAAGCTACACAAAGGCATGTTTTCAAACCAAAACTAGGGAATTTATGGATAAAAAAAATAAAATCATCACGGCTACTAAAATCGACTCAAAAATATAACCAAAACAGGCTACTAGCAAATTAACTTGCACAATTATTAATCACGCCGAAAACACGAGCAAGGATGTTCTATCAAGCCAAAGAAAGTGTTAGAAAATAAACAAGTAATTTGAGAATAGCAACTATTGGCAAAGAGATCGAGCCAAACTGATAACACTTCTTAGATGCATAAACATGAAAATCGGATGCTTAACGACAGTACAAAATTAAATAATACAGACCCAATAATGTTCAAATGACAAACTCGGGAAGGAAAACACCAAGACGAACTTAGACAAGAAAGAAAAGAAACACCAACACTAAATAACAAATTAGCAGTACTTTAAATCAGTATTACGACTAACTCATAGAGATGACTAAGAACACCATCTCAAAACCCAATCACTCGACTACCACACACAAGCAACGAACCGAGGAGAACAAAAGCATTCAAGATATAAACTAAAAGAATTGGAATTGAAAGAAGTTTACCTTCTTGTGTGCAGCGAATCGAGACGGACGAGCAAAGGAGACGACTTTCACCACGAGAACTCGGTTACAAACAATGGTCAAGAGATCTGGGCTGAAAATTGAACCCAAACGTCGAAAACTATTGTATCCCCTGCTTTTGAAGTATATTTAGCTTGTATTTTAAACACTAATCCTCAAATATATATTTTTTTGCTAAAAATATCCCCCATTTGACAGTGAATAATAAGAGGTTTATATAGATGGGGAATTCTTGGGTTTAGTTTTTTTTTGGGGAATAGGGATGAAAATTCAAGTGAGAATGAGGGTTAGACTCGGAATTCTCCCACTCAATCCTCAATTTGAAATTTCTCCCTAACCAAAGAGCTGCTCGATTGTACAAGAAATCAACCCAAATCCCACAAAATTCGGACGACGGGCAGGGTGGGTGACTTGATCCATCCCAATCGTTCTTGTGCTCGCCATGGCGCCCATCCACGCGAGTCAAGGATGGGAAACGCGGCTGCTGCAGGACGCAACTGCAGGTCTGTTCCTGTTGTACCATCGATGAAGACGATGGCAGCTTTCCGTCTTTTTTGACGTGAAAAAGAATAAATCGCGTATGGGGTCGTCTGGGTGTCACGTCTGGTACGCGTTGTGTTGCCGTTTGGATCGTTGTTATCGTTTGGAAATTGTTGTTGACGCGTTGCTGCTCGCTGTGATGTTTGCTGAAGTTAAAGTTTCTGGGTCTTCTTTGTGAAGAAGAAAAGGGCTGGGTCGGGTTGAGAAAGGGAAAAGAGTGGGCTGGGTTGGAGGCATTAATGGGCTGAGTTATAGGAATTGGAAATAAGAGAATTAGGATGCTGAAAAATGAGAAAAGGGCCAAAACTTAGATGGGTTAAGGGTAAAATTTAACTGATTAGATTTTGAATTTAAGCTTTAGCCATATGAATTTAAATTATAGCCAATTAGAGATTTAAAAGGTAGTCAAACTTAGTTAATTAGGATAAGTTATGCTAATAATTAAATAAGATGAATTAATATAATTAATTTACGAGCTTCTTAATCTTAATGAAATAAAAATAATTAACTTAATTATGTAATAATTAATTCGAATATATAAACTAATATCAAATGAGCTAATTAACAAAGCACTTAAAAAGTAACTCTTTTTGAAATGATTTTTTTTTAATGTTCGTAAAATGTAATAATTATATACAAAATTAATAAATATATATATTTATTGTTTTAAAATTATAAAAATGACTAAAATTGCTTCAAAACTAAAAATAATATTATTATATTTTATTTTATTTTTTGAATTTTTTATAAAACTAATTATTCCAAGTCATTGAAAATTAAGAAGCTTGAAAGTTAATTCTTATCGGGGAAGGTCAAAATTGGGTGTCAACAACTGTTCCTCGTTTGACTTGGATTGATGAAAGAAATACGAGGAAAATGAAATTGACGAATCCAATTTTGACTGACCACACCTTCATCCTATCGAAAAGAGATTTGGTATGGACTTAGGAGTTATGGCCGAACCCCAAAAAATGGGTTTCCAACATATCTCAGGCTATATGAGAATTCAGGCCACTTGTAGTTCGATACGCTTGATTTGACGCACGATTTGAAAGAATTCAAAAGCTATTTCGATACCAAATTATGAAGGTACCAGAATGCTTGAGAATAAGATTTAAGAGCGAATGTCGGAGCATACCCGAGTTTTCAAAACTGATCCCGCCTACATATCCTTAAACCCTAGGAATCATGCTACTTGTAGTTCGACTCGATCGGTTGAAAAGGAAATCTCTTATGCTGAGATAACCTTTGGTTCTGGAGGAGTGACAAATAAGTCGAGTTATGAAAAAGAGGCTTGCAACCTTTTAGCCATGAATGTGGCGCGCTTCACACCCACAATTAAGAACTTACACGGACATAATTTCCAAGGCTCTTGGTGCATTGTCACTCAGATTGGAAAGTTGCTTCCGGTGAACCCAAACTTTTCCGGATGCAAAACTGGAACTGATAAACCCAAAGAAAAACCCACATGCCTTCTGATAGGGGTGTGGTTTGATTGTGGTGGAAGTCACTCCTCAGGTCGCGTCCTAAGAGTTTGGCACTCCTCTTTGGACTATGTCCTAGTTCGCTGCTAAGAAAAGTTCCACGTTGTGCTGCATTCTTTTTTATATCGTCCGCACCTGTGGTTTGCTTTGAGAATTCATCCTCTTAGAATGCTCTCGAAAAAGACTGAAATAAAACTCCTTAGCATAAAATGCAATTCAAATGGGGAGATAGTGTTTTTTACCATGTTAACACTTAATTGTTCTCCTTAGACGTTTGACGTCAACTTCCTCCAGTTTGACATAAAGCAAATAAATCTTGTATATTATATTTGCAGTATAATCTTCAATGTACTCTTTCTTTGATGTTGAAATAATAAAATAGGTTGATGTAATATGTAGATAGTTCTCTTGACGTCGTTATTGATGGCTCTCTTGATATTTGTTCTTGCAAATGAAATGATGCAGTCGATGTTGATCTTTTTGTGATGGGTAAATCTTTCTCTTGCGATGCATAACTCCTTCTCTCTTGATGCATGACTTATTTCTCTTGCGATGCATGACTCTTTTCTCTTGCAATGCATGACTCCTTTTCCCGGGATGCATATCTGTTTCCCGCGATGCATGAATCTTCTCTTGCAATGCATGAATCTTTTCTCGCAAAGCATGAATCTTTTCTCGCGATGCGTGAGTCTTCTCTTGCAATGCATGAATCTTTTCTCGCGATACATGAATCTTTTCTCGCGATGCATGACTCCTTTCTCTTGCTATGCATGACTTCTTTCTCTTGATGCCTCCCTGGTACTGAGCGAAGATAATGCTTCACCGACCAACATAGGTGATCTTCTGGGTGGCGATATCGTCCCAATCGACAATACAAGTAAAAATGACCCTTAGAGTAATGGAATCATCTCATTCGACGATATGATATAAATGACTCTCCGGGTAGTAATATTATCATATCTGATAACCTAATGCAGATAACATCCTCCACGTATCTTTAGTTGATCGGAAATAATAAAATTTCTCTCTTCGAGGTTTTCATTTGTTCCGTCTCCGAACATAATTGCATGTTCATTATGGGCTTCGCCTTGTTGGGAATTGAATGAAATAACGTTATTCTATTCCCAAATCTTTGATATAAGAAACATAAAATATTTTCTACATCCACATAAAAATTGTCAATTTTGGGGGAGCTCTTCGCCCTTTTGACTTCTCCATATTCATTGAATGGAGGAATATGCTGATCTTGAGGCAAGCTTATAAATCTGCATCCACAGAAAAATTGTTAGTTTAAAAATGAACTGATCTGTGTCGATCCTTCGGTCGTCTGCTCTTTGTCTGGCTATCTTCGGTTGATTTCCCCGATCTCCCACCTCTTGATAGATAAGACAAAATATTTTTATGGAAAAATAATTGAAACATAGATGAAAATTTTTAAGGCAAATAGATTTTCAAAAAGTAGTATTTGGAAAAGGTCATTGTCAAATGTCATGTCACATCAAGCTTAATGAACGCCTTTGAAATTGATGCCTTGAGGTCTATCTGATTATTTGTTGGGAAGTATTCAAAATTGCTCTAAACTGACGATAAACCCTGTTGAACCATCCTCAATATTTATGCCCCAGTTAACTGTCTTGGCTTATCTTTAACCGTTGGTGAGCAAATCACGGAATTTTTGAGATTCTCTCAAAAATTCTGTCCCAATTGCAAATCTCAAGTAATTTCGGTCTCGACTTTGTTGGGGAGATCCTCTTCTTGAGAATTTTTTAGTCCCTTTCAAAAGTTCTGTCCCAGTTTCTATTGTAATGTAAAATAGAAATATTACGAGAGATATGACCGAACCATTGTGGTGCCTACGTATCCCGTTGAGGCAGGAATCAGGTCAAACGTAGTTCCCCCTCAAAGATTAACAAAAATGAGAAATTTAAATAAGGAACAGACCGAGGCCGACATAGGCCGCCTACGTATCTCATTCTTGAGAATTCAGGTCAAAAGTAGTTCAAATACAAGGAAAAACATTAAAAGGGGATAAATGGGTGACCGAGGCCGACATGGGCCGCCTACGTATCTCATTTTTGAGAATTTAGGTCAGACGTAGTTCATTACGAGAGGAATAAAATATAAAACAACGCGATTACAAGGAAATGACAGAAAATACCAACTGAAACTTCACACATAGTATCTCTTGACAGCATCTGAGTTGATCGATTTTGGCCATTCGGTGCCATCCATCTCCGACAAGACCAAGGCACCTCCAGATAGCACTTTGCGAACCATGTAGGGTCCTTGCCAATTTGGTGCAAATTTCCCTTTATACTCATTCTGATGAGGAAAAATGCGTTTGAGAACAAACTGACCAATTTCAAACCTTTTGGCTCTTACTTTCTTGTGGAAAGCACGAATCATTCTTTGTCGATACAGTTGTCCATGACAAACAACAACCATTCTCTTCTCATCGATCAATGTCAACTGATTGATCCGCTTGTGAACGCATTCAACATCACTCAATTCAGCTTCTTGGATGATTCTTAATGAAGGTATTTCAACTTCTGCAGGTATAATTGCTTCTGTTCCATATACTAGCAAATATGGAGTAGCTCCAACTGATGTTCTGACAGTCGTTCGGTAACCCAACAGAGCATACGGCAGCAGCTCATGCCAACCTCTGCGATTATCAATCATTTTCCTCAAAATCTTCTTATGTTCTTGTTGGCGGCTTTTACAGCTCCATTCATTTAGTGGTGATAGGCGGTTGAATTTCGGTGAGTAATCTTGAATTGTTCACATATCTCTCTCATCAAGCGACTGTTGAGATTTGCTCCATTAGTAGTAATGATGGATTCTGGCATTCCAAACCTACATATCAAATTCTTGTGAACAAAATCAGCCACAACCTTCTTGGTCACCGACATATATGAAGCTGCTTCCACCCATTTGGTGAAGTAGTCAATAGCAACCAAAATAAATCTGTGTTTGTTAGAGGCGGCTAGCTCTATTGAACAAATGACATCCATGCCCCAAGCTACAAACGGCCAAGGTGAACTCATAGCATTGAGTTCATGAGGCGGCACTCGAATCAAATCTCCATGCACTTGACATTTATAGCACTTTTGCACAAACTTGCAACAGTCATGCTCCATAGTCATCCAAAAATAGTCGGCTTGAAAGATTTTCCTCGCCAAAGTGAGTCCATTCATGTGAGTACCATAGACTTCGGCATGTATTTGTTCCAGAAACTTTGCAGCTTCACTAGCGTCAACACGTCTGAGAAGACCTAAATCTGGAGTCCTCCTATAAAGGATTTCCCCACTAGCAAAGAAATTGAGGGCCATACGGCGTATTGACTTCTTCTGGTTGAGAATAACAACTCTTGGAAAAGAGATCGAGCCAAACTGATAACACTTCTTAGATGCATAAACATGAAAATCGGATGCTTAACGACAGTACAAAATTAAATAATACAGACCCAATAATGTTCAAATGACAAACTCGGGAAGGAAAACACCAAGACGAACTTAGACAAGAAAGAAAAGAAACACCAACACTAAATAACAAATTAGCAGTACTTTAAATCAGTATTACGACTAACTCATAGAGATGACTAAGAACACCATCTCAAAACCCAATCACTCGACTACCACACACAAGCAACGAACCGAGGAGAACAAAAGCATTCAAGATATAAACTAAAAGAATTGGAATTGAAAGAAGTTTACCTTCTTGTGTGCAGCGAATCGAGACGGACGAGCAAAGGCGACGACCTTCACCACGAGAACTCGGTTACAAACAATGGTCAAGAGATCTGGGCTGAAAATTGAACCCAAACGTCGAAAACTATTGTATCCCCTGCTTTTGAAGTATATTTAGCTTGTATTTTAAACACTAATCCTCAAATATATATTTTTTTGCTAAAAATATCCCCCATTTGACAGTGAATAATAAGAGGTTTATATAGATGGGGAATTCTTGGGTTTAGTTTTTTTTTTTGGGGAATAGGGATGAAAATTCAAGTGAGAATGAGGGTAGACTCGGAATTCTCCCACTCAATCCTCAATTTGAAATTTCTCCCTAACCAAAGAGCTGCTCGTTTGTACAAGAAATCAACCCAAATCCCACAAAATTCGGACGACGGGCAGGGTGGGTGTCTTGATCCATCCCAATCGTTCTTGTGCTCGCCGTGGCGCCCATCCACGCGAGTCAAGGATGGGAAACGCGGCTGCTGCAGGACGCAACTGCAGGTCTGTTCCTGTTGTACCATCGATGAAGACGATGGCAGCTTTCCGTCTTTTTTGACGTGAAAGAGAATAAATCGCGTATGGGGTCGTCTGGGTGTCACGTCTGGTACGCGTTGTGTTGCCGTTTGGATCGATGTTATCGTTTGGAAATTGTTGTTGACGCGTTGCTGCTCGTTGTGATGTTTGCTGAAGTTAACGTTTCTGGGTCTTCTTTGTGAAGAAGAAAAGGGCTGGGTCGGGTTGAGAAAGGGAAAAGAGTGGGCTGGGTTGGAGGCATTAATGGGCTGAGTTATAGGAATTGGAAATAAGAGAATTAGGATGCTGAAAAATGAGAAAAGGGCCAAAACTTAGATGGGTTAAGGGTAAAATTTAACTGATTAGATTTTGAATTTAAGCTTTAGCCATATGAATTTAAATTATAGCGAATTGGAGATTTAAAAGGTAGTCAAACTTAGTTAATTAGGATAAGTTATGCTAATAATTAAATAAGATGAATTAATATAATTAATTTACGAGCTTCTTAATCTTAATGAAATAAAAATAATTAACTTAATTATGTAATAATTAATTCGAATATATAAACTAATATCAAATGAGCTAATTAACAAAGCACTTAAAAAGTAACTCTTTTTGAAATGATTTTTTTTAATGTTCGTAAAATGTAATAATTATATACAAAATTATATAAAAATATATATTTATTGTTTTAAAATTATAAAAATGAACTAAATTGCTTACAAAACTAAAAATAATATTATTATATTTTATTTTATTTTTTGAATTTTTTATAAAACTAATTATTCCAAGTCATTGAAAATTAAGAAGCTTGAAAGTTAATTCTTATCGGGGAAGGTCAAAATTGGCTGTCAACAAGTATCTCTCAGACCTTACAGATATAACTTTTATCAGAAGGACGAACTGGAGAAACAAATAGAAGAAATGCTCAGTAATGATATCATCCAATACAACCAATCACTTTTTTCTTCACCAGCCTTGTTGGTTAAGAAGAAAGATGGAACTTGGAGGTTTTGTGTGGATTATAGGGGTCTAAATGAAATAACCATTAAAGATATGTACCCTATACCAATAATGGATGACTTATTGGATGAATTACAAGGGTCTGTGATTTTTTCAATGGTGGATTTGCGAACTGGATACCATCAGATCGGGATGAAGCCTGAAGATGTGTTCAAAACTGCATTTAGGACCCATGTGGGTCATTATGAGTTCTAGGTAATGCACTTTGGGCTCACCAATGCTCTTGTAACCTTCCAGGCACTGATGAATCAAGTATTTTGACCCCTACTGAAGAGGTTTATCTTGGTGTTTTTTTATGACATACTAGTGTATAGTAAGTCCCGTGCAGACCATGCAGTTCACCTAAAGGTTGTGTTTGAAGTGCTGAGGAAACAATCGTTATATGCTAAGAGATCTAAATGCTCATTTAGTCAATCACAAGTGGAGTATCTAGGCCATATCATTACTTCTGAAGGGGTGTCTACTGATCCAAGCAAAGTCCGATCTATGAGTGAGTGGCCTACCCCTACCACCTTGCGAGCACTTAGAGGTTTTTTGGTGCTTACAAGCTATTATAGAAAGTATTTCCGCAACTATGGCATCATTTGCAGGCCATTAACTGATTTATTGAAAAAAGATGCTTTTAGGTGGAATAAGGAGGCTGATCAAGCCTTTATAGCTTTGAAACATGTCATGTCCACTGCTACTGTCTTGGCTTTACTTGATTATACTAAAGAGTTTATTGTGGAGATTGATGCAAGCTTAACTGGAATCAGTGTTGTTCTTATGCAAGGCAGTAGACCCATAACTTACTTCAGTAAAGTTTTGGATTCTAGACATAGAGGGAAATCCATCTATGAGAAGGAATACATGGCACTTCTTAATGTTGTAGACAAATGGAGACACTATCTTCAGTATAAACACTTTGTGGTCAAAACCGACCATCACAGCCTAAAGTATCTCCTGGAGCAAAAAGTTACAACTGTTGTATAACAAAAAGGTCTAACTAAACTGTTGGGTCTAGACTATGAGGTGCAGTACAAAAAGGGTGCTGAGAACAAGGTAGCAGATACATTATCTAGGCAGTTTGAGGATAAGGAAGGTAGCATGCTCAATGCCTTAGCTGGTGTGTCATTGATATACCGTGAGTTTACAATATTTTTATTACATTTCACTTAAGAGTTGTGTGTGTCTAGGGCCTTTTGTATTGGTTTTTATGTCGTTTTTTATCATTGTTTTGCAGGAAAGATGTTTAGGCGCGGAAGTAAAGAGACAGCTGAAAGAAATGCAGAAAAAGGCATCTATGGAGGTGATCTACGGACCGTAGGTCCTTTGACGCTTCGTAGATGGTGATCGTAGATCAGTAGGGCAAGGCATGGAAGGAGAATCAGGGAATCTGACCAAGTGTGGAACCACGGTGACCATTGACGGTCTGTAGATTGATCTACGGACCGTACTGCTGAACCGTAGAATGTGACTGCGAGGGTTCCAGTACCTGGTTTTTGGAGAATTCTAAGTATGGAGCTACAGAGAGGGATCGACGAACCGTACTGGTGTTCTGTCGTTTGCTTCAGATAAGCTGATTTTTGGAAGCTGAAATATTTTCTAAGTCCTGACTGACGGAAGGGACTTACGGACCAAAGATCCAATGACGGTTCGTAAGTCAGTCTCGTGGATTGAAGACGCGTACCTGAACAAAACTTTCCTT